CACTGCTCTGACGTCACACAAACTTTCCGTGACGTAATCAAGCGATGAAGCATTGAGGAGCGTATTTCCAAAAAAACGAAATCACGTTGCCTAGAGCAGTCGTTTACATTCAGAAGCAAACCGATGGTGACATGTGAGCTTTTTGCATCCCACCTGATGCTTGCCGCCACATCTTGAGATAAGAGAGAGAGAGAGAGAGAGAGAGAGAGAGAGAGAGAGAGAGAGAGAGAGAGAGGAGAGAGAGAGAGAGAGAGAGGGTAGAGAGAGGAGGGGATAGAGAGAGAGACGCGAGAGAGACGAGGTCGGAGACCGAGAGAGAGACTCGAGAGAAGAAGGATGATACCCGACTAGAGATGAAGTCTAAAATAGAAGATTGAGACGGCTGCTCGTATCATTGCTCTTGGATATGACATGCATACATATATACATATATATATATATATATATATATATATATATATATATATAATACGCACACATATACTTAATCCGTCAAACATGTAAAATGTATTTCGAGTCATCCGGGGCTGAATGAGCAGCCTGCAAGCATTGCAAATACAATTTATCGCCTGCCATTGGGCTTCAGCGGTGTCACTGTAAAATGACATGAAACACGCTATTTGAGAGCCTGTGCAAAATACTAACATTTCCCTGCCCCTTCCCCAGATCATGGAATACAAGATAATGGTCACATGCCCTGCAAGTCGATGCGGTTCAACATTAGTTCACATTTGGAGATTGCGTGGCATTGCATGGAAGCATGAGGCTGCCACTGCGTATGTCTTTCTAGTCTGGCAAAAAAGTAAGATAAAACTCTGTGTATTATCTTTATTGCCAACGGGTGCTAAATCCGTTTGATAGCTGGTAGGACAGGCATGATATGATTCGCATGGAGAGGCTTATTGCATGCACATCGAGCAAATTGCTGCGCATTGGCGATAACTGTGGCACGGCACAGATGAAGCCACTGCCATTAACGAAACGATTATTGTATGGCCAGCACTGCATCATCGCCTCAGCTCAGATACCTTACGCCTCGTCGCCACAGCGAATGGGTTAGCGCAGCCGCGAGCAGCTGATAGCGGTTCGGAGCGTGCGCCAACGTCCGCGATTCGACGGAAGATCAGCCCACCCCCGCTCTCTCCCACCCATCATGGCCGGCCGGCCCAAGACTGCAGGGGAGCCCTACTACACCAAGCTTCGACTGCAGGGGAGCCCTACTGCACCGAGCTTCGACTGCAGGGGAGCCCTACTACACCGAGCTTCGACTGCAGGGGAGCCTTACTACGCCGAGCTTCGACTGCAGGGGAGCCCTACTACACCGAGCTTCGACTGCAGGGGAGCCCTACTACACCGAGCTTCGACTGCAGGGGAGCCTTATTACACCGAGCTTCGATTGCAGGGGAGCTCTACTACACCAAGCTTCGATTGCAGAGGAGCCTTACTACACCGAGCTTCGACTGCAGAGGAGCCTTACTGTACCGAGCTTCGACTGCAGGGGTTCCCTACTACACCGAGATTCAACCATCGGGCTATTAAAGGGAATGCCCCACATTTGAAGATATTAAAGCAAAAATCGGGCGTGATGACAAAAGCTTCCTTATAACAATTTGTAAATTTTTGGGTGGAAATACCGTTCCAGGCAACACGATTTCTCCGTTTAGTAAATATGCTCGCCACAACGTCATCATGCCTTGCACAGCAATGAGAGCCAATTAGCGGCCGTTGTACCAGGAAATCGTGCTCAAGAACGCCAGATATGAACGTCCCAAGAGTAAGTTTTTACTGGTCTTGATCGCCGCGTGACTAATGGAATGACAGGATTTGAATGATGTTATTATGACATTATGAATGCCTGGGTAACCTTGAAAAGTTTCACCGTAAAAGTCTGCACATCTTCGCGAGCGTGTAGCTAGAGAGGTTTAAGCATTGATAAGGGGAGGGCTGTGAAGTGCACCGAATCGTTTTCAAAATGACTGTTCAGTTCAAAACCCTACGCATCTATGGAACACTCGCTTCTTTTACATTTGACTGATATAGGGATGGGCGACACAGGCACATAAGGTGCATACGACCTGGCGCGCGTCTCTAAGAAAATAGCATGTCACGAGTGAGTCCAACAAAGTCGCACACAGCTGCAACTACAGAATACTTTGGCTCATATCTTGAAGGGAGAGGGACCGAGGGACGCAATGCAGTTCACGTAAGCAGCACGAAAAATGTAGTTTTTCATATAGCCATATTTCGTCCTTAAGGTGAAGGTGGAAGCGAGGCGAGAGCAAATTTACAGTGCATTTTATCACCAAGTAAAAATATAAATATTTACTGAATATTCTATTATAGAGAGGGCCGACAGCTGACGGCCACGGCCACGGGCCACGTTCCAATCATGTATTCCTACTTCCCTCCTTTGGAAAACTCCATAAGTATGTGACATATGCTAATGAATGCTATATAGGATATATATAGGAATGCAATAAATTTGCAGGCATAATAACATTGCAAGATACAACTATACCTACTGCTCGCATGATCTCCCATTTCACCACCCCAATGCGCACGCTGGCTCCTTCTATGACAAATGCTACCTAATGCCAACTCTTATGATGAAAAAGCAAATGTTTTCCCACCCGATTCGTGTAAACTGCACCAGAAAAACGTGCTGACCCTTTTATTAACACCCTTTTAGCACCGCACAAATTCCCTCATGAATTTTCCAGTTTGAAATATCATGTCACAGCATTGCCGAGCGCGTTATCTATCGATCTGCTTTGGCTGCGTCGACATCCGCTCATGAAAGTGTCAATTGTGTCGGATCAAAAGTATCCAGTTTGTTTAACCGAAGTCAAAAGCACGTTTTCACGGTCTAATGGTGACATTTCGTAAGCCTGCAGAGTCCGATTGCTTTAAGTCAAGCTTCTAAACATCTTCTGTTTCCAGGGACAATATAAAGTCGACTTAAGAGCTAACTGCTCGACCCTCCTGTCGGTCTTGGGTTTAAGGCTCTGCCACGCTACCAACACATCCCACATGATACCTAACAAAGGCATCCGTCTGGAAATGGCCCTGCCAGTCGGTCAGACGTACAGCAACAATCCTGATTATTACTTTAGTAACTGTTATTGACATTGACGTAATCACTTGACGTAATTGATTTGAGCTCCACGTGGCCTAATGAGTTGGTTTAACGTTGAACCGTCGGACGCATGTGATAAAAAACCTACTCTTTTGAGACGCATGCATTGCCAGATAGGTCATTATATTGCCATCAAAGCCAAGGATTGTGTGACATAAGTTTCTATGCTATCGTACACTAAATACCCATTTGTTGGAGCGCATGTGGAAATTCTCGACTGCCATAAACGGTTGTCGGGGATTTTCAGTGAGGGTAAAACAATGGTGAATTAGCTAGTTTGGGCCAAAAAAGCGCAGTACTCTTTGCTTGCATGATCTAGTCTACCAAGTCTGCATCCACCACTGGTGTGGGTTACTACCGAATGCAGAAACACCTGAATATGGGATCGGTAAACAAGCCATGAGTATCCTCATTCTGAACTTGAATGACCTACAAATGTTTCACTTGCCCAGCCCCCACCCCCACCCCTCACCTCACCCGGCCCTCCAGAGTCTTGTCTCTTCATTCCAGAGTGCGAAAAGCCTCACACATGCACGAGTGGGTATTTGTAGAATGATGTGCAACCTACCCAGAATGCCAAGGAAGGAAATGCGGGTCATTTAGCATCATAGCACCTACGTACATACACACATACGTACAGCAGAAAAACATACATACATACATATAGACATACAGACACACATACAGACATATTAACATACAACCGTGCACGTCATGTATATATATATATATATATATATATATATATATATATATATATATATATACACGTATACGCGTATATACTGCACTATACGGATCCGACATCCCCATTTCAGCAGACCAGTCACTTATATGACTCATTCCCCAGTGTGAACGGGTCAGCTCGAGCCTCAGAGCGCGTACCGCACCGCCACTGCCGCCACCAGCCGGGAACGTGTCACGCCGCGATGTCACGTGACGACAATAATCGCGGCCACGAACGAGGCTCCACCCCGCCAATGACCGTCACGTGGCGGCGACGTTCGACGGCGCACTCCCACCGTAATCCCGAGTAATTGCTTAATGGCCACGACTCGACTGCTGGTCACGTGATGCACGACAGGTGCAGCCGACGCCGACCTGGGGTCAGGCGCTGGCGGCAATGCCAGGACGCGTCCTGACGGCTCCGTTCGCCCTGAACCCGTCAGTGCGGGAGAAGACTGGGGTAGGGCCAGAGAAGATGCGACGGTCATATCGAGTAGGAGCATGGGTAACGCCATTTTGAAAACCGTGGCCGGCCACTTTAGCGGTTCTTTCTAACATACTGAGATGATGAGCCGGTTATAATATTCTCTTTTTTGTTGTTGTGTGTAATAGCTAATTGGCTAGCCCCTTCAGCTCCCACGTGAGGAGCCCTGTAATAGCCGAGTGGCTAGCCCCTTCAGCTCCCACGTGAGGAGCCCTGATTCGAATGTCGGTGGCGCCATGGCCCCTGGGCGCCAATATGGCCGCTGCAATAGTTGGGCTCACCATAAAAGTTACGTGCAACGCGCGTCGCGTTTCCTTAAAAACGTGCCTGATGAGTCTACTCCCTGGCGCACGCGCTGTTTTCACCCGTGGCAAAATAGTAAAGACGCTTGAATTTGTGGCTTGTTTTCGCCGTCAAGATGACCTGAGATGGAAGAACCCTAGTTTAACTGAAAGTTAGCCTGATATGGTGGGAAACTGGTGACAATGAAAGCTGACCTGAGATGGCAGGGCACTGGTTACACTGAACGTGTCGAGTCCGATGGTTCCAGTTTCTCCGGTTCCAAGCTAATAAAGTGGCGATCCGATGGCCAACAATCCACATATCTGAATGCGATGGGTATTTGACGTGCGCTCGAACGTCTGAAAGACTCACTTGAAGAAGTAGCTTCCGTTCTCAAAGCCGAAGAAGGGCACCGTGTAGGTCATCATCCAGATGTTGCCGCCGCCGCAGTCGAAGTAGGGCTTGCTCCAGAAGCCGTCGGTGAAGGTGACCGGCTTGATGACCTCCTTGGTGGGCGGGCTGTTGGCGCCAGCCGCTACGGCGTACGTGCGAGACCCTGCGGACACGGGGAGCGCGCTGTTATGGCGTGGCAGGGGCTCAGGGGTCAGCGATCCAGATCTGGAGGCGGTGGGTTCGAATCCTGTTGGCCACCGCATTTTGGGTGAGTCAACTCCACGAACCAGAACGATTGGGGCAGCTCTGAGAGTTACATAAGTTGCAAGCAGCATGATCCGAAGGCAAAAAGCAGTGGGCCTACGACTGTCCGTTGAGCCGCTATTTTCATACCACTTTGTGTTTTTCTAAGCCGTAGTGGTGTCATCTCTGTTGCGGCATAATCATCTTCATGGAGCCAATGCCATTGCATTTCTCACACAGCGGGTATCCGAGTGGCAAGTTATTCACATTAGCCCGACATCCGAGCTGAAGACTTGGTGACGCCATGCCGTCGCGTTCCGTCTGCAAGTGTCAGGGTCCTCGCTGAGTCATGTCATTAGCACGACCTGAACCCGAGAGTGCTCGCTCCGCCCTAGCCCTTTGATGGGAGGCCCGAGGAGTGAAGGAACGGGACCCAGTGGAGTGGCCGACTGGGAGCTCGATGAGAACCGGCTGCGGCACGTTACACAGTGTATGATCAGCGAGTGATGCGGAACTGTGTCAGAGGCCCTTGTGTGCGGGGCCAGAGCCAGAGCCGTTACACCAGAGCGGAATTCAGTTGGCGTTCGCTGAGCCCTGTGGCGAAAATTGAATCGCTGGTCCACCTGGATGTGAATGCAGATGTTTATGGAAAAGATGGCAAAGTAGCAGATAATGGAGCAGAGCAGGAAGGAGAATAAGTTACTCTTTTCTCTTGTCCTCGTCTGTTTTTGCCCGTTTTTTTCGTTTTCTTCTCCCAGTCAGTATCTACAATCAAGTACGTCCTGCACTTCTCGCTACAGGGTTTATCGATCGTACATTCGATACAATACCGCAAGAGAGACTGGATTAAGAGAACGTACCGCAAGAGAACTGGATTAAAGCGGCGCCAATTCACTGCACTCTAGCCTGTAGAGCTCAAGGTCTCCATCATTCAGGTTCTCTCTCTTTCCCCCACATTTGCCAGTCACAATGAACAATATTTCAGCAGCTCGCTTATGCGGCCAGCTGAGTCTGTGTAATGTGATACCACCATCATAACGGCGCACGATTCCAGAGAGCAAGCAACACGGCGTCAGATGCATGACTTAATATTCACGACGGGCGTGCGAAACGGCCTCGGCTTGGCGCTGCCTTGGTGCCAACTAAGCCCAGCTGATTGTGTTAGTTACGCACCGAGCCGTCCGTAATTGATGGGCAAATCACCCCAGCAGTTCGTTAACAACCCAGCAAACGAGACTGGCAAGTTGTCGGAAAACAAGGGACCTCGATGGCGAGATATGGAGCCAGCGAAAGGCATTTTGACCCCTTCGTACGCAGAACTCCCCTGTCTCGACGGACTAAGCCTCGGAGAGCAGAGGCATCTGACCCAAAAAAACCTTCGGAAGTGCCTCTCCAAAGTGCCTTTGATCAGGTCGATACAAAATCGGTGATTACACAGAGCTCAGGCTGCCTTGTGTTGCGAGGCCCCACAAATGAAAAGCTGGGAACGTTCAGCATCATTTATATATATATATATATATATATATATATATATATATATATATATATATATATATATAGCTTGACCCAAACAATCACATACCATCCTTAAGCGTTTATTACCGAATAAAATAAAATGTAACATAACACTAAGCTTGAATGCCATTAATTCTTCGAACCACATTGCGTACCACACCAACACGGCCTCTAGAAAAGGTAACAACGGGTTTTGCAAGGTCTGTGAGCACTCGCAAAGCTGTGCTCACAGACAAGTTTACGCAGAACCCCACTGCTCTTTGGCTTTACACTCTCTAGCCCTCTTACTTTCTTATATATCATGGGGACAAATCAACCCCCGAGCCTGTCTTATCCAGCCAGCCAGCCGTGCGCGTGTTAAATAAATAAGCCGGCGAAGCTGTTTTTGGCTTCGAGCCATTCTGTGTTTAGCGAAAACACGCGACGTTTCCTCGTCACAAGTGTCGAAGGCATCGTTGATAGGGTCCCATTCTTTGACTTCCGTGGTCCAAGATATGATGGAAGGTCGATTGGTAGTTCGTGACACGGCATGCATGTTTCAATATGGGTATGTATCGCATGCGTGCATCAAAACCAAGGTGAGAAAAAGGTCAGTGCTTCCAACATCGCACGCCTTTCGTAGGCGTTATCATTGGATGCATGACATATATGGCTGGATCATTAAAAGAGATAGCCCAGATGCTTTAATAGCATGGATAATCGGACCAGCGTTCACGCTTACCAGTGTTTGTTGTATGAGTTCCTGCCTCGTCATCCGGTTGTGAATTTCCAGGTCAACGGCAAAACTTTTCGGCGAAAGCATCCCTTCAAGGAAGATGATGGTATGATCTGACAAGCATCAGCTTGAGGTTGCGTCTATTTCCAAAGCCTGTCGGATCCATAATCCCATTGTGGGAGCGCCGGACTCATCCGTCCGTAGCAGCAGCAGCCACGCGATGTCGCGTTCACAGGACGGCGCGGTGCATTACGCGTGCAGACAGTTGGCTAGAAAACTTCGTTGAAAAATGCTGTGGCCAGCGACCTTTCGCCTGATTGTACGTGTGACCAGCGCAACGACAGATGCCATCGATCAGCGACCACTGTGCTGTCATCTCGCTTCCTCGCTTCTCCAGCTACCACGCGACAGCTGCCGGGCGACCGTGCCCCGTCACATCAAACAGCGCCGCCATCCCTGCCAGACAACCCCGCCCCGTCACACCAAACAGCGCCACCAGCCCTGCCAGACAACCCCGCCCCGTCACATCAAACAGCGCCACCAGCCCTGCCAGACAGCCCCGCCCCGTCACATCAAACAGCGCCACCAGCCCTGCCGGACAACCCCGCCCCGTCACATCAAACAGCGCCACCAGCCCTGCCAGACAGCCCCGCCCCGTCACATCAAACAGCGCCACCAGCCCTGCCGAACAACCCCGCCCCGTCACATTAAACAGCGCCACCAGCCCTGCCGGACAACCCCGCCCCGTCACATCAAACAGCGCCACCAGCCCTGCCAGACAGCCCCGCCCCGTCACATCAAACAGCGCCGCCAGCCCTCCCAGACAACCCCGCCCCGTCACATCAAACAGCGCCGCCAGCCCTACCGCGGCGCACTCTAACTGCATCAGGTGGTTGTAGTGCCATTGCCAGATGCCTTATTGTAATTCTCACACTCGGCGCTGCATTGTGGACGCAAAATACTGACTGCCGCGCTAAATGATGATGATGACGATGTGTGATGACGTGCTTACTGATGGTGGTCGCAGCCGTAAAGCCCAAATAATCACAGGCTATTACCGGTAGCTTAGCTAGTTGCGTGGCATCCGTGGCGCTCCAAGCAGCCCGGGCGGAATGGGTTGGAGTCATTCTACTGCTCGCTATTTTCCCCTTGGCTGGGATGAGCTGCGGCCGGTCAAAGTGGCCTCGCTCAAGGCCAGATGACGTCAGGGGACGTCAGATGGCAGGACGAGCCGTATCGAGCATTACGGAACAATGAAACTTCATCTCTAATTATGCTGTTGATCTGGAATTTCACGACTAACGGGAAGAGTTTGTTGTCTGAGCCAGGGCTCAAGCAACAAGCGGTGCTTAACGTGTGCTCTGATTTCCATAAACCCATTCAATGAATGCGGGTGGGCTAAACCTATTAGAAACTAATCACCAGGAATTGAATTTTGTACAGCTCTTCCAGAGCCTTTAGCACGCTTAAATGTTCCAGAATAGCATGACGTAATTGTATTAAGTTATTTCGCCTCAGGTGGCAGTTAAGAGGTTTTGAGCTCGGTCGGCGACGACAAAAATCATTTTATCCCCTAAAGCGCAATATACCTCAAAATACGTGAGGTTTTATACGTTCCCTGTCATGGAACATGTAAAACAGGCAAACGGCGTGACTCAAGCGTTGCATGGTCTTGTCCACCATTTTAACAGGGACTGAATAACGCTGTATTGGGCGCCATCGAATTATTCTGCAGGTGAATTAGCATGTCCTTTAATCTAGTCTTTGTAACCCTTATTGTACCTTGTCATCCAAAGCCATCTTTAAGTTTTTACTATTGGCTTATATTCCCGTAGACTTTTGGTCTTCGGGTGCTTTTCCACTTTGACTTACCCACGTTTCCTTATTTTTTACGGTTTCCACTTGATTTTGTAGTAATTTGGTCGTTTGCGCGGGGGATTCTGGGGATTCCTAGGATTCTTCTTATGCGAGTATTTGCAATTTTGTTCCTAAATGAGCAAGAACCGAATGCCACGATTGCAAATGCGATGAGCGCCTCCCTGGGTGCGTAAGAAATCCGATCGTTTTCGTTTGATTCTGGTATGGCATATTTCACCGTTTTCATCCTAGCGAAATGGAATTTTGTGCTTGGTTACCAGTAATAGCATTTCACCTTTGCGCGACCAAATGCGGCGTGATGTGTTAAGATGAACGGAACACGGTCAACTGTGCCAGGTTGAGTATGGACGGATCGCACACAAGTCTGTGAATAGTCATCTTACGTGACCCAGCCGCAGTTTAGAAGGAGTTCTGTGCGCTGGGCAGGAACCACTTGTCAAAAAGTGACTCTCGACCAGGTCGACGTCACTGGTCGAAACCCGACCCACTTCACATGCATGCTTTAACGATGAAGCTATTGCAACCAGTAATTGTGTAAGCTAGGTGGAAAGATGATTCTTAATAACCACGCTGCGACAAGGGTTGGGTTCGCCGTCTATATCTGGTTCAGAAATTAGCGCAATTTCATGCGTTTTGCCGGACGGCGACAGCCAGCCGACTGCGGTTCTCCGCCTCGTCTAGCAAGGGACTCTGGCGTCTGTTTGCAGACGCTAATGTCGCAGTCGAAGTATTTGCGTCATGTTGAACGTCCAATAATGGTGGATTGCGTCGTATGAATGCCCCCAAATGTGGTCGGCAAACAGCGTCCAGCG